CTTGGGCCCCTGCACCCATGCAGGAGACCAGGAAGAAGCTTCTGGCTCCTGGCTTTGGCCTGGCTCAGCCTGGGCCCTTGCGGTAATTTGGGGAGTGAACCAGTGGAGGGAAGATTCTCTCTCTATCCCTCTCTCTCTCTCTAACTCTGTCTTTCAAAATAAATGAATGAATCTTTAATAAAATGATGACTTCCAGGGGCCAGCACTGTGGCATAGCGGGTAAGGCCACTGCCTGCAGTGCTAGCATCCCATATATGGGTGTCAGTTCGAGTCCTGGCTACTCTACTTCCAATCCAGCTCTCTGCTATGGCCTGGGAAAGCAGTGGAAGATGCCCCAAGTCCTTGGGCCCCTGAACCCACGTGGGAGACCCGGAAGAAGCTCCTGGTTCCTGGCTTCAGATCAGTGCAGCTCCGGCTGTTGTGGCCAACTGGGGAATGAACCAGCGGATGGAAGACCTCTCTCTCTCTCTCTCTCCCCCTCTTCTTCTCTCTCTGTGTAACTCTGACTTTCAAATAAATAAATAAATCTTTAATAAAAATGATGACTTCCAAATGTCTTTTAAATGCCCAACAGTGAAAGATTAGAACTGGGGATTTGGTGGCCATTCAAGTTTCCAGAAATTTTTCCCTAAAAACAGTTTTGAAGATATAATTTGACCATTTTTTTTCTCTAGTTTGGGTGCTAATAGCTGTTATGGGATTGGCCAATTGTGAGAACTTGACCAGGTGAGAGCTTTGGACCAGAATCCCTCGACAGCCACTCTGAGCAAAAGCGCTTGAAGGCAGAGTAAGCACAGTTCCCACCCAGGGCAAGCCACAGGAGAGTCCATGGTGCCTGGCAACAGGCGTGTGTTGAGCACCTGTGTGTTGTGTCACAAACAGTGCTGAGCACTGGGCAACCAATCGTGATGCAGACAGATGCAAGCTCTGCTGGCCATGTTAATGCAGCCGGGAGCCCTTTATAGTACAGACCAGAATGGAGGTGAGTGAAAATCAAACATCTGGGAGCCATAAGTCTGATTCAAATAGTTCCAACATTTTTTAAAAAATGAAGATATATAAATATATAACTAATTTGAGATCTGTGAAAGCTCAGTGGTATCACTTGGAATTAAGATGGTAGTTCCAACATTCAAAGCACAACGGTACTGTTTTTTAAGGACACTACACATTGTCTTGTAAATAGGTGGCAATCCGCAAGGCAAACCCCCCAGATCATTTTATTGCCCAGAGTTCCAATGCTCAGCATCAAAACCAATGCCTAAATTCTGAAGGAAAGAGGGTTTGCAGACATTGTCCAGCCCCAAGAGAGCAACAATGCATTTAAAGTTAAGAGCTGTATATTTCCAGGTGAACTTTGAATAACGTCACATCATTCAATCATTGTGCATTACTTAAACCTCTGAGATCATCCTCTGGTCCTGAGCCATTCAACGGAACTTTCTGCGGTGATGGAGATGGTACATCCCTGCGTTAATTCAGTAGCCACTACCCACGTGCAGCTACTGAGCACCTGAAAAGTGACCAGGGGGACTGAGAAACTGACTTTATAGTTCTCCTTAATCTGGATAATTCAACTGTAGATAGTTACATATGGACAGTGGACAGTGCAAATTTAATCTTAAACTTGGAAGTGATAAAATAAAATTATTTTCATTTGGATTAATTCATTCCAAATTGACAAGTTATTTAAAAATTATAAAGGAAAAATCTCTAACAGCAAATCTCTAATAAATAGCAAGCTAAAAGATGAATACCTGAACCCAGGGTTGCAATTTCCCTTATTGACCTGACTGAATAAAAAAATACATATGTTGTGGAAATATTTGTGATTTCTTTTAAAATAACCAGTGCTTATTGTTAAAGGAAGAATAATCCAAAGTTCAAAGTAATCTACATTTTAAAAGATTTGTTTTTATTTGTAATGCAGAAAGAGAGCGTGGGAGACTTTTTAGTGTGTTGCGTTTTTGTAATGATTGCTCATTCATTTATTTAATGTCCACAATCCAGCAAGCACTTAGCTGATGGGAAAGTTATTATCCTTCTTCTATACTACAGCAAAAATATCCCCTAATAGCCTAATTTAACCCTGATGCAGTTGAAATGATTTAATTTACAGCAACTTCATGTATAATCACTTCATTTTTGAGTTAGGAAATAACCAAATCATCACTCATTTTTGGATTTGACTGCAAAACCAAAATTCAAATATATTGCAACTTTAAAATGCATAGAAATACCTCTAGAAAATGAAAACAAAATATGAACAAAATGAAAACAAAATATATGTTTCCAACAGGTGGATAACACATATTACAAATATCACACACTTGATCTTAGCCAAAAGGCAGAGAAGCAATGCATATCAGAAATATCTAAGATTATCTGCAGGGATTTTTTTTTTTCAAAAGAAAATGTTTAGTTTCTCTGAATTGGAATATGACCTAAGACTTCCTAATTAGTGAACGGAAATATTTTGATTATAATAAAATGTATCCTGCTTAGCTATAAAGTTGATTTTAAATATGTACATGAAAAATAATTTCTGAGTGTTTAGGGTTGGAGAAGGTAATTAATGCTGTCAACAAACATATATCATGACCTACTATGTGCCATGCACCATGCTTGACACCAAAAAATGGCATTCTCTTTGAAACAAATTTAGGTAGCATATCAGACTGCACACTGATGGAAGTATTCTCAGTGTTTCACAGCCATACAATATACATTCCATGTATAGATTACTGCACTCTTCCTTTCTCTGCTTTCCATATGTATAGCAAACAACAATATATGTATTCCACTAAATTCCCATTACATCTGCTGGATTGACACTACATATTTTGCTTTGGGCCAGCTAGATCCTATTTGTGTATGTGTATATGTGTGTGTGTATGTGTGTGTATACACTACACACTGAGAAAGCCAGTTATATAATAATTTGAGAAAAAACACTCTTAGGTATTTATTGGTCCTTCTGATTTGGCCTTGTTCTAAAGTCACAGTGAAGTAAGATCCTGACATCATGCCAAGTAATTTTTAAACATAAAGAAATTTATACAAGGTACAAACCCAGTTTTTAAGGTGATAAAAATACTTGAAAAGAAAAAACAATTACGGAATTCACCTAAATCTTGGTGGTAAGATTCCAGATGATTTTGATTTTCTTATTTGTATGTTTTGACATTTTCCCACCCTTTCTGTGATGATGATACATTATGTTTATAATCAGTAGGATTTCTAGGAGTTTCGGTTACAGGCCAGATGAAGGGCTCCCGTGGGAAAGTAGATATTGACTGCAAGGATCTTAGAAGCCTGGTGTGGACGGCCCAGAGCTCGTGGGCCTGATTGGCTGACGGCTAGAAGCCCTCTGAGAAAGGACAAAGCCTTCCACTGTCACTGTTAAGGGTGCATGTAAATGAATCTCCCTGAGAGGAAGGGAGACTGTGAACATGTGTTTCCAGCTCTAGGGCCTGGTGAGCTCACTGAATGCATGCAGCGTCGCCTTCCGTGACCTTTAACTTCGTACAACATCTATAGCTAAACTTTGAGTAATGAACATTTAAAGACACTTTTCTAATTGTAAAACCAGCATAATATTCTTTGGAGAAAACCGAGAAAGCATGAAAAAGCTAGGTAATAAAGTCAAAATCATACAGGGGTGGGCATTTGGCACAGTGGTTAAGATGCCCCTTGGGACAGCCGCATCCCACATCGGAGTCCCTGGCTCTACTCTCCATTTCAGCTCCCTGCTAATGCACACCCTGGGAAGCAGCAGGTGATGGCTCAAGTAGAGTCCCTGCCACCCAGGTGAGAGACCACATTCAGTTTCTGGCTCCAGCTGTGGTCTGGCCCAGCCCCAGCTGTTGTGGGCCTCTGGGGAGTGAATCAGCAGATGGAAGGTCTGTGTCTGTCTCTCTCTGCGCCTCTCTCTCTCTCTCTCTCTGTGTGTGTGTATGTGTGTGTGTGTGTGCGTGTCCCTCTGCCTTTCACATAAATAAAACATTTTAAAAATAATCTACAATCCCATTACCCGAGGTAACCACCATGAGCACTCAGTACATAAGCTTCTAGTAATTTATTCTAAGCATGTGTCTATATCCTGCTCTTTCACAATATTTTATCCTGAGAATTCTTTGGTCATTAAATACATTTACTACACCTGATCTTAGCCAAAAGGCCGAGAAGCAATAAATACATTTACTAACTCTCATTCTAATGACTGCCTGATATTACTGAGAGCTTAAAAATAATCTCTTTTTTCACAAAAACAATGTTATTGAATTACAATGTACTCAGTGTATCATAAGAACACATTCAAACTATAACCAGCATTTTAAGAAAACTAGCCAAGGTATTTTCTGAATTAGTAGTCTCTCCTGGGTCTAACCAACAGATTTTGACTCCAGACAGATTTTGTTCAACTCAAATCCCTAAAATCACCCATATTGTGCACAACGATAAATCACTCACATATTTTCCAAAACTCAACCTTAGAATTGGAAAACCACAACTCCCTAAGAAATAGTAGCTAATAAAGCACTTTGAAAAATCTCTGTTTTTCCCACGTGTCAGCCCTGGCAGCACCCCCCACCCCGTCTCAACCCAAGCTCTGCCTGCTGTAGCAAAACAAGTCATTCACAGCGAGCTTAAAGGGAACACTAAAGTAAAATGAAAAAAAAAAATTATCCTTAGTACAAACTTCGGCCTCTGGGAAAATTATTTGTCAACCTTTCAAACTAAGTAAAGAAAGATACTGCTATTTAAAAAAAAATCACCCAAAAGCTCCACAAAACAATTCTATTACAGCCCAGTACCCCTCAAATATCAACGTGGCGCATATTTGCTAAGCAAAAGCACTGAAAATTATTTTACTCAACAAACTAATCTCCATTCCTTTGAAGTACAAAGGAGGACATTCTATGTCAAAGTCTGTAATTTCAATTTAAAAGAAAGCTCCATTCCCAATCTCTTCGGTAGATTGGGGATCCTTTCCTTACCTATAAGGCAGTTTAAGATCAGAAAGACCTTCCAAAATGCGAACACCATTGTGTCCAGGTTCGTGGAGAGCAGCAGGTGCCAGTAGCTTGCCTGGGCTAGACTGAGTCTCAAACTGGCTTCTTCAATCACACCAACGTTCGCCAGGCTTATCTGCTGGGCATCACCATGCAAACATGCCTTTTCGGGCTTACTTATTGGGTACAAACCTTTCTCAGAGCAGATTTGTGTTTCTTTGAAACACTTTTCATGGGGCGTGTTTCCTTGATATATTTGCTACTGTGTTAATAATAAACCCACATATTTAAATTCTTCAAGCTCTTTGTACACAGATTCTCTAAGTCTCGTTGTTTAAAATCAATCTTATTAAAAAGTTGTACTTGAGGGGAAAGATACAGTTGGAAGAGGGCCTATGCAAATACAAGCTGACAAGGCTAATTGATTTCAGATATTTCCATGAAAGTCTCATAGCATTGATTCACTAACCTCCTTTTACAATTCCTGTGACTGAACAGGTGCTATAAAGTTTCTTGGGAAGATGAGGTTCACAAGAGGGGCAGAGGGGTTATGAAGCAAAAACTCTGGATATCTTGAAAACACTGGTATTTCTCACTACCTTCCACCAAAACTCACAGCAGAATGTTTACGTTTCCCGAGTTAGAAACCTTATAGTGCTTATTCACTAACCTCATTTTTCAAAATCAAGTTAGTAAATGCTTTATGATTGGACGAGTCTAAATTTTTGCAGAATTAAGTTGCTGAATACATGGTGTAGGATTTCCTTAGAAAGGAGGGTTCACTAGGAGGACATGGGAAGGTGTTCAGGAAAAGAACCTTCCCATGAACATGACCTTCTATTAGAGTTCTTAATTTGCCCTGAGAAACCTATGGGCCTCCTCTGAATCTCCAAGCGAACTTTAAGGTCCATGGTTTCCACCCTTACTACAACTCTCGGATTTCTTCCTTCTCCAACCTGGTGCTTCTGTCCCGGTCCAGGTCCTCAGCTCCCCATCCCTGGCCTATGTCTTAAGCATACTACCCATAGCAATCTCCTCAATGGTCTGGCCCATCTCCTCCTTCATCCTGTGTATCAGCCCGGGCCAACATTCCAACCCTAAGCACACATTTTCAATAACCATGTATGGACTCTTTTCTCAATTCCAAAGTCCTTAGTCTGGATTCCCAGACTTCCCAGATCTGCTTCTCACCTCCTCTGAACTTTAGTCACATTAATGCAACTACCTAAAAAATTCTATCATGGTGTATTGCCTTAAAGTGTTCAGTTTCATGAAATGTGCATAGGTTTCAAGGATCATATCTTATGAACTTTTTTTCACAGCACATCTTTGACCACATCTCACCTTAGCCAAGCCAATTTCCCACTGTTTCTCAGAAAGTCATCTTGCTTCCATCAGGCCCAATTCTTTCCCACAGCCTTCTCTGTCCATGCTCATGTGATGCCAATCCTTGGCTCCAAGCAACTTTTGTTACCACTTATAATTTTCTCCTTCTTCCTGCTACCCAGGTATATTCTTTTTGTTAGCTATTTATTTATTTGAAAGGTAAAGTTACAGAGAGGCAGAAGCAGAGGCAGAGAAAGAGGTCTTCCATCTGCTGATTCACTCCCCAAATGGCCTCAACAGCCAGAGCTGGGTTGATCTGAAGCCAGGAGCCTGGAGCTTCTTCCAAGTCTCCAATGTGGGAGCAGGAACCCAAGGACTTGGGCTATCTTCTGCTGCTTTCCCAGGCGCATTAGCAGGGAGATGGATTGGAAGTGGAGCAGCTGGGACTCACAATGGCGCCCATATGGGATGCCGGCGCTGCAGGCAGTGGCTTTGCTTGTTACACCACAGCGCTGGCCCAATTCAAGTGTATTCTTAATGCAGAGCAGTCGTGATGTCCTGTGTGACGATTCAAGGAACCTGCAGACCACTCTTCTCTGGGCTCTCATTAGCATAAATCCACATTCTTCTTGCACCCAATATCCTACATGGGCACTTGATTGCTCTGCAGTGGTTTCTTGTTTATTAACTGAGTCTCCCCTACATCCAGTAACTGTGAGATCCTCCAGGGTGGAGATCAGGTCTCATACAGGCAGTTCGCAACTTAAAAAACACTGTGTCCCAAAAAGTACTAGTGAGCTCATTGACTGGAATACACGCTCCTGTGGAGCAATCTTTTAATAGATGTCTCATTCCCAGATGTATGTAATTGATAGCATAGCACTGGCTTAAATTCTCAGTGTTAGGCTATCAGTTACATATGTCTGGGAATGAGACATCCATTATAATATAGGGTAGGGGAGAAGGAGGAACAACAAGTAGCAGAGAAAGAATGTTCCTCTCTTTGACCAAGACATGGGATATACCCAAGACAGTATTTTTCCCCAAATAATTGTTGTAGGTCTCCGACATTCACCTTCCTTTCTGACTCTCCCGGTTCCCTGGGTCCTTGTGTCCCTTGGTTGCCTTCACGGACAGGCCACCAAACCAGAGGAGAGTACCCAAACACAAAGCAGGTGCTCAGTAAGAGCTTCTTAATGAATTCAACATGTTCAAGCTGGGTGACCCGAAGACTGGTTGGGTAGAGGGTATAATTCAAGGGTATATCAAAACCCACCGGAACCAGAATCTATCACACAAACCCATGACATTCCGGAACGTTGAGAGGTAAAATACCCACACTGCTACTGTGTGAGACCTAACTGGGAAAGGAAGAAATCTGCTAAAACAAATTCTCTGCCTGGAACTGAATGTTGATGTTACTGACGATTGCCTACCAAAAGTGAGCTATTGGGGCCGGCGCTGTGGCGTAGTAGATGCAGTGCCAGCATCCCATATGGGTGCCAGTTCCAGACCCACTTCCCGATCCAGCTCCCTGCTATGGTCTGGGAAAGCAGCCGAAGATGGCCCGGTGTAGCTCCGGCCATTGTGGCCAGTTGGGGAGTGAACCAGAAGATGGAGGACCTCTCTCTCTCTCTCTCTCTCTCTCTCTCTCTCTCTCCTCTCTCTCTGTGTAACTCTGACTTTCAAATAAATAAATTAATTAAAAAATAAAAAACAAAAGTGAGCTATTAACCAGCATATAAAATATTAAGTAGCCTCTGCATTTTTTTACAGAACTTTATCACTTCAAACTACTTTTCCATTTTATCTTTGCAACTGCACCAATGAAGCAATGGGCCAGTTATTATCTACATTTTCTATATACGAAAACCAAGGCTCAGAAACGTTGTGTCTTTCACAAGGCCACATAGCACGCACTAGAAACCGTTCCCATCACCCTGCCCAGCGGCACAGTGTGATGATAATGTAACAAATATGCTACTTTCCCCAGGAGTCTTTCTTGGGAACTTTTGAAAGTACATGGTGTCTGACCTATCTCTCAGGTTTTTTACTTATAAATTACAAAAGTATACATTTGGATTTAAAAACAATCTGGCAAAACAAAGAAGTATACAGAGAGAGAAAACTGTTCCCATGCATTCACTCACACGTAGAATCCCATGCCCAGATTTACCAACAAGAATTTAGCACTTTTCTATGCATTCGCACACACACACATATGGTTTTTTTTGACATAAAGATAATAATGTTGTTATTTTATAATTTGCTGTTTTCTCCTTTTAAAACACATTTTTATTATCTCTTTCTGTAATTGTCCAACTATAACCAAAGTTATATCTTACCTGTTTTAAGGCTACATGATATTTCTTTAAAAAAAAAAAGATTTATTCATTTATTTGAGAGGCAGAGGCAGAGAGAGGGAGGGAGGAAGAGAAAGAGAGAGAGAGAGAGAGAAAGTCTTCCATTCACTGGTTCACCCCCCAAATGGCAGCAACAGCCAGAGCTGGGCCAATCCGAAGCCAGGAGCCAGGAACTTCTTCCAGGTCCCCCATGTGGGTGAAGGGGCCTGAGGACCTGGGCCATCTTCAACTGCTTTCCCAGGCCATAGCAGAGAGCTAGATTGGAAGAGGAGCAGCCGGGACTCGAACCGGCGCCCATATGGGATGCCGGCACTGCAGGTGGCAGCTTCACCCACTACGGCACAGCACCAGCCCACATGATATTTCATAGTATGGATGAATCATAACTTCTTTAACCATTGTTCTATTGGAAAATTCTTAGATCATTTAAGAGTTTTTCACAATTATCCACAATGGTGCAGTGAACACCCTTTTGTTTAGATTTCTGCCCAATTGTGTGATTATTTCTGTAAGCTAGGCTCCTGGAAATGGAATTGCTGGATCAAAGACCACAAGCATAGACATCTGTAGTAGACAGCAAAAGTTGACCACCAGAAACTTGTTATAAATCTAGGCCTTGTCCCTTGAGTGTACATGCAAGTGTGTTGTCAACAGCTTTGTGAAGAACTTCAATGATCAGTCTTCTGTTTTTACTGGTATTATGGGTGAAAGCTGATATTGTTGTGTGGCATTAATGTGTATTTCTCTCATGAAACTGAGCCTCCTCTCACAGGTTTATTGACCTGCCTGGTATTCCCTTCCCTGTGAAGTGCCTGCTTGTGGCCGTAGCTCATTTTTCAATTGGGTTATCTGTCTTTTAGTATTGTAAAAGTACCCTTTAGGTGTTATAAAACTTGCCCTGGGTTTTGTATCTACATTATAAAAATTTTATCCTGGTCCAGAATCTTTCTTCTTAGTTTTATATCTTTCACCATAAAGAAGTTTGCATCTTTTTTGTTAATCTATCGATTTTTTTCTTTATGACTTTGTTTCCCGGATTCTCTAAGAAAACTTTGCCCAATTCATGACTATAAAAATATTATTCTACAGTATTATTAAATATCATTATATTATATTATGTTATATATTCTTTTAATGCCTCCATAATTCGTCTCCTGCCATCTCAGTGATAGCAACTTTGTCTTTCTAGTTACTGAGGACTAAGTCCTTGCTGTCACTGCTGATTCCACTGCCTCTTTCGTATACCACCTCTAAGTCATCAGATAAATCTTTCTTTAAATATTTATTTCTTTGAAAGGCAAAGTTGGGGCCGGCACTGTGGCATAGCAGGTAAAGCCACCACCTGCAGTGCTGGCATTCCATATGGATTCTGGTTCCAGTTCAAGTCCAGGCTGCTCCACTTCTGATCTAGCTCTCTGCTATGGCCTGGGAAAGCAGTAGAAGATGGCCCAAGTCCTTGGGCCCCTGCACCCACGCGGGAGACCCAGAAGAAGCTCCTGGCTCCTGGCTTTGGATAGGCGCAGC